CGAAAAAAACAATAGTTAATGATGCGATCGCGATATACTTATCGGCTATCGAAGTGCTTAATACGGCGATTATTAGAAGTATACAAATAGTTTGAAATATCCCAAATATACAACAAACGTGACGTGAACGAACACATTGAATGGTTTTAAATTTAATTCAACAAGTAGCCTGTGTATGCAGATAAGTGTTTTTGAATTGTCGATGTTGTGTCGTGTTTCAAAGATGGTAAAAAAGCGGAAACGTGTTGTTTTAGGATTAAATCGAAAACTAGAAATTATCAAACGTTTGAAAAAAGGTGAAACTGCTACCAAAAGTGCTCAGATTCATTGTGTTGGGATTTGGGAGAATAGCAGTGAATGACATAAAACGTGATGCTGAAAAAATTGAGCAGCATGTGTCGTAAATGCAAAGCAACGATGGAGATGTGAGAAGTCGTAAAACCATGAAACCTGCAAAATATGAGCAACTTGACAACGTTATGTATCAGTGGTTTATTCAAGCTCGAAATCATGGAATTATACTTTCAGGTCCTATTATAATTACCGAGGCAAGTGAAATGAATAAAAAATTAGACGGTAATCCAAAGTTAAAAGCAAGCCTTGGATGGCTTGATAAGTTTAAATTTCGTCACAGCATTCGACGACTCGACATTATTGGAAATAAACTTAGTGGGAATAGCGTCAGACATTGCTGAATTCAAGGAACAATTCAAAGTGAAAATACAATCCGATCTTAAATTCGTTAGAGAACAAGTTTATAGCTGTTATGAAACTGGACTCAATTGGAAAGCTTTGCCACAAAAAAAACACTGGCATCATTTTCTAAAAAAAATAGCCCCAGATCTTAACATTCAAAAAGATCGGATCACTGCAATGGTCTGGAAATTGCAACTGAAAAACATAAACTAGTTCTTAAAGTTATTACACTTATATAATATCTAAGATAACTTTCCATAAATAATAATACATTTTACACGTCAACTGACATTACATTGTGTGAACCTTAAATTATAGTTGTAATTTGTAAATAGTATCCCAACAAAAACCCTTCGTCCAACTTCGTGTAAAAAATTGTCAAGTCAATAACTTAATTACTTTGCGATAATTTATTTTATGTATAAATTAGTAATTAAGATCTTTTTTACAAAACAAATTTAATAACATTTGTAATGAAAATTTGTTAAATATCCCATTAGTTATGAACGGACATGTTTATTCGTCGAAGTACATTCTAGCAAAGTAAATAAATTATTGAGATAGAATAAATGTATTTTTAATTTAATTTACTTAGCATTTATTCATGATATCATATCTTTATAATGTTGAAGTCTTATAAATGACTATTTTTTTTTGACTTAGCAATTTCTACACGGAGTTGGACGAAGTGTTTTTGTTGGGATATCAGTAGTTTTTTGTAACATACCCATTTGTATGTACCGGCAATCGGCATGTAATACGATTTGCTAGTTTTTCATGTTTTTATTTATTCATTATATTATTATGTCTGTTCATTCAATATATTCAAATTTTTTTTGCATTGTTATAAATATAATATACACATCTTTAGCCCCTCGAGACCATCGTTCAAAATGTATTGAAGTTTTATTACATCGTAGTAATTTATTTTGATGTAAAATTATACAAGTATTATGGACTTCATTCTTTGATGGTCGATGGACACTTTAGAATCTATTTTTAAAAAATGGAAACAAATTATAAAATATCTATTTAATATTTGTAGTTACAATTACAACAAATAACACGTGGTTATAATATGTATATTATGGCGTGGCGGTGAAAATACATGTCAACACTAAATGTCGCTAGAACGAATACGACATCACTATATTAGTATTTACTATTTAGTAAATATGCTCTTTAGTATTTAGTAATTTATATAAGTGAAGGCGTAGGCAACGGCGGAAAATGCTGCCCAGTATACGAGTATACGACACAGGGTGTAATACGGTCTCTGGCGCTGCAACGTCGGATGTTACTAGTGTTTACCAGTTGCCCCCCAAGGCTATTATCGCGATTTTAAAAATATACCAGTTGCCCACTTGCCCCCAATTGAATGTACCAGTTACCCTCACATGTTAATATATACACAATACAATATATAGCTCGTAAAATAATAAATATACAAATCATAAATAAAATATAAAATTCAAAATTATAATAATTTGTCAACATAACATGTAATTTTAGATGCGCCTGGGTGGATATAATCATCGAAAACGTATGAATTATTATTTAGTATGTTAAAAGAAAAATGCTCTGGCTTTGAACTTGAATTCAATCCGTCAATTATTGTATCCGATAAAATAAATATAAAAACAAAAATATTAGCAGATTAGATTTTGGAAAATCGGTTGGTAATTATTATAACAAAACATAATACTTTTGAATTTTATACTATTTATATGTTGACAAATTATTATATTTTGATTTTGTACTATTTTATATTAACAAACTATTATAATTTTGAATTTTATATTTTATTTATAATTTGTATATTTACCTCCCTTATTTTACGAGCTATATATTGTATTTGTGTATATATTAACATGTGAGGGCAACTGGTACTTTTTTCTCTAGGTAGTTTGGGGGGGGATTTGGTATAAAAAAAGGTACTTTTGGGGACAACTGGTACATGCCCGATGTTACAACTAAAAATGGTCGAGCACAATATCTTTTTGCCTCAAAAATATTTCATTTATTTCCTAATATATTCGGCATTATCTACCATTTTTTTTAAAAAATGACAAAGGTATAATCTGCATATTATACCCGATTTATTGATATCACAAACGTACCAATCTGTCTATTCATTAAGTGTGTAGGCCTGGCTAAAGAAAATGGGCGAACTCTGGCTCGTCTTTTGTGTTAGTACTACAGTCGTGACCTCTTTTATTTTTTTTACTTAGCTTCGCGCCACTACCGTTGGGCTGAGTTAACTCATTAATATTTCTTATAGCAAAATCATGAAAATAATATATAACAATGGTACTGTTTCGACGATAACCGTTTCCTGGGAAAAATAAACATATAGGTAGTTTCGCCAAAAATCGACGATATCTCAAACCAAATACACTGTCAAAGATTTCACTGAGTAACCACAAATGCCAACAGAAACATTTAAATAAAGTCTGCTGCTTCTACTGCAGAACTACTTTCAATTATAATTTTAAAATTTAAAATTGGAATTATTCCAACTTAATTCAAAAAATGAATAACTACCCCGATTTTTAAAAGTGGTGATATTAAAATATGTATAAGTAATTACAGACCTATGTCTTTATCTCTTGCAATCAGTAATGTTTTTTAAAAATGTATCAAATCCCGAATTCTTTTCTTTCTTAATAATTATAATTTAGTTTGGTTTTTTACTAGGTAAATTGATCAATGATGCTTTAGTTAGTATGGACACATATTTCAGAAATAAAATTGATAATGATGAAAAAGAAGTGTTGCATTGCAGTTATTGGTATTCTTTTGTCTAGTAGGTATCAAGTTGTTAACTTGGTAACGTGATTAGTACTTAATTGTCTATAAATAGTGGAGTCCCACAAGGGTTCAATTTTTACCTCTCGGCTCTCAAAATTACCAACTCACTCTGCTCAGAATCTAAAATGATATTATTTATTATGTTCTGATGTGAAACACGATTATGATAAATAATTAGGTACAAAAGTTATAATATTAATATCTACTACCAGAGCTGGCGAGAGGGTGGGGCAGTAAGGGCCAGAGCCAGGGGGGGCCCGTTGTCAGAGGCGTATTTAGGCACAGCCGCACATGCCCTGTAGAGCCGGGCCATTATCGTCCGACTGCTCAAAATTAAACAACTATCTATAATATATTCCTACTATATTGTACACAATACGCAACACAGAACGATATTAATAATATGGTTAATATATATAATATAGTCGTAAATTCCTAATTACGTCTCTGAAGAGCGTTATTATATTTTTCAATTTTATTTTGTGTATGACGACCGACTGCTTATTTAATAATAGAAGCACAATGTATGTTCGATCGAATTTCCACGTATTAGTTGTAATGATGCATTTACATTTACATAACATACATCGCGTTCCAAAATTATCGTTTTTGCTTTCTTTTATAATTTTGATATTACGGAATACGAATAGTGTGTAATTTTGTGTTTTGCTAGTACATATTTGAGTACCTAGTAATATAATTTTATTATAATGAGTTATAAACACAAATTTGGTGCGCAAAAAAGAAAAAGATGACAGAGACAATGAAGCAAAAAAAGGACAGCTATCACTCAGGCAATATTTTAAACCTTCTACAGCTTCGACTGAGTTACCTTTACGGTCTATTGTGAAATAAAGTCTTGGCAGTGGAAAAAGAACTGGCTAAAAACACGAACTTGGATGCTGTTATCGATGATTTTGCTACGAAAAAGGCCAGAAAGGGAACACTCTTAACTGAACCTAATTATTCGTTAATTACTGTTAAATAGTTGTTTACATTATTTTCTTCAATTTTAATAAAAGATTTTATAATATACCAAATATTATGTTTTTTTTATTTACAATTTATCCAACTTAAATATTAAGTATCGCTACTGTATTAAAATGCTATATAAATCTCAGTAAAATAAGTGTATATAAGTGAAGGGGCCCGGAAATAATCAGCCCTGGGGCCCACCAAAGCTCTCGCCGGCCCTGTCTACTACCTAGGTGTTATATTGTCATTTATCATATCAAATGTAATAAGATAAGCACAGTTACATTTAACTGAACACAATAAACAATAATTCTGGGGGGCTAAGCTCCCCCTCCCTAGATACACTTTTGGGCTTAGGACTTGTATAGGAAAGGGATAGAAAATCGTAATATATATGCCATCTTTGTTAATTACATTTTAAAGTAGAAGGAATGTCATTATGTAGTTTACCTTTAAATCTTAACTCGCTGTCCAGCCTTTTCATTTAATACGAAATAGAATAAATAATTAGGTTTAAGTTTAATTGCAAAACACTGACTATATTCACGAGATAAAATATTTTACTTAAAAAAACAATATACAACAGTATGTACAATGGTTTGGGATTGATCACATATTTGGTTAAAAAAAATAATTTTAGAATCAAAATAATTTTTTATAAATTTGTTATATGACCAATAGAACAATTTTAAGGGGCGGCTGGATATTTTACAGGTCTCAAGAAAGGGTTGTCAATGGGTTCATCTGGTTTTGATTCAGTTTCATCACCGTTATTTATATCTTCTTCTTCTTCGTTTTCATTTTCTTGTTCGTCATTTTCATCAAAGTCTTCTTTCATCTGAATATCTTTTTTGAACTTAATTTTTTTAGTAGGTACTGGTATTTCAGTTTCATCAGGATCCTCATCAAATACTTGATCTTGAGGTAACAATGCTGAGATATATGCAGGTTGTTGTGGCTTATTGGCTATCACTAGAACAAAAAACATTTATTAATGAAAGCTCCAAATAACTAAATTCTAGTGATTGAACACCATTATGAAAGTTTCATTATTTTGATATCATTACACATAAATAGCTTACAAAAATTGAAGCAATTAAAACTAAAAAAATAATAATAAATAAAATAAAAAACTTATATAGAATAAATATAACAAACTGTGAAAAAGGACTAAAAATTAAAGATAAAATAAAAACTTAAATATACAACAAAACCTTTATAAGTTTTTATAATACCTAGAGGTACGTTTGACTATTATTTATGTAGGAACAAGACATTGTACAAATTATTGTAGTATCGGTATTTATGGGTTATTGCAATTACCATACACCACATATGGATTATAGCGACTACCGCACAATGTGTCCCACTCTAATTTTATTTTTTCTAGTGTCGTAACGATCATGAAACAAACAAGACATTTTTAATAGAAGTCCCTGATCAGTCTTCTACTATTTTGATGTCCAAAACACATCAAAACATAGAGAAAGGGACGACAATTTACTCTGATTGCTGGCGGGCATAAAACGCAATGCAAGATAATGGCTACCAGCATTACACAGTAAATCATTCTTATCATTTTGTGGATCCAAGTACATGCTCACACACAAAATATAGAAAGGGGGACGAGGTGACCGAGTGGTCTGAAGCGTCTGTTCCAGTTCGATCCTCGGCCACCGGGCGGCATTTTTCTCCGGACAAGTCGCGGTGACCGGAGAACAAGTGCTGCCATCCCCCACCCCCGGGGCATGGCAGAAACCTACGGGTGCCCCATTCGAAATTCTGCCAAATCAAACACACACGTGTTCCCCCCTACCGTCCCAAAAACCTACAATACAAACCTATACAACACAAACCTACAATACCTACTCTACAGCTAATGGCCACAGTTGCCGGGCTCAAGATCAATAAAAAAAAAAAAAAAATATAGAAAGACTTTGGAGATCAGCGAAATGGATAAACAAACATCATAGAGGTACAGCAAGACACCATTTAAAATCCTTTTTGGCAGAATTTATGTGGAGGAATACTAATAATGAAGACCAGTTAAACGTGTTACTAACCTTAAATATTTTATAAACGTTTTTATTTTTCTAATGTCAGGTACCAAAATTTATCTGATTTATTTTCCCTGCATGCCATTAAATTATGAAAAAAAATTATATATATTTATTTATTGGTCTTATTTATCATTAAAAATAAAGTACAATAAGTATTTAAATTTTTTCTCGAATTTGTCATCCCAGTACAAGACACTCAAACACAAGTGCGTTATCTCACTGATACAATCATCTTTCCCTTCGTAATTCTTGATACTACAATGGTAATTTTTTAACGTTACTCACGCAATTGATAGGTTATGGACATAAGAAGTTGGGTAACTTCCACTTCAAGCTACAATTCATACTACACTCTTACAATTTATCATTGTGACTTCTTATTATACCACATAATTGTACATAATATTGTTTTATTTTACATTTTTAATAATAATTAAAAAAGTAGGTACATGATGGAATTGACAAAAACCATTTCTTCATTATGATGAAATATTCAACTAAAAAAATATGTGATGGTGTTTTTTTATGAACTCTAATTAATCTCCCAAAATCTCATTCTAATGTAACATTACTCAATACTATTAGGGAAATGTAAGTTATTAAGTAATATGATACTTACAAGCAAAGCAATCATTTTCTTGGTTCAAAAATAAACTTTCAGTAGGACCAGTTTTTATTAAAAACTTAATTAAAGATTTTTCAAGTTCGTGTTTTTGAATTGCAGATTTTTCTCGGATAGCTTCATATTCAGTTACTGGTTGTTTGTGTGTCTGCAAACACATAATGTATTATTGAATTGCAAAAATGAAAATGTGTATTGAACATTGGACAAAACTAGTGATCTTACTGGGGTCCTGATATATGCATGTGGATCTGGAAAAGCTGGCATATAACTTGGCATATATGATGGATGTGGCAGTCTAGTCCCTGCTTGTAGGTTACTTGTTTGGCGGGGCTGTACAGATGGTACAGGGCTAGGGAGAACAGCTCGATTTGATCTTTTGGCATAAGCTAATAGGCTGGAAGCATTTTTGAACATACCCATGTCGATTAGACCCATCATAACATCAGCACCAAGAGGCTCGAGACGCCCAGCTACTTCTGCATAACGACGACTACTATTTCCCATTTGGGACAGCACTAAAATCAAATAAAAACATTCAAATACATTACATTAATTACAAATAACATTTTCAATGTTTATAATTTTTAATATAAAATATGACCATTGAAAATGTACAGTATTTTCATTAGGATTAGTAGCACTAAAACTTTTATTTTTTTATTTCACACAAATTGTATTCAGATGTTACAAATAATTCTTAAACTATACATTTTACTAACCCCTGGAAGATATATTTTGTTTAATGACATTCAATGATTCCCATAATATAATGTGAAAAAATAACTCAATAAAAAAAATGTAGAATACTAAATATATTTGACATTATATAACATAAACTTTAAATAAATTTAAATAATTTATAAATTTCAAGACCAAAAAAAAAGCTGAAAATTAGTCTAAAAAATAATACACAAAATAAATTGGCTTAAGTATATCTTTATGACTATATCAAACACCCATTATTGTCTAATAATTATTTTTAAAACTATGGAAATCGAGATGAAAAATTAAGTTTATTTTTATTTAGCTTCAAAAACTGTTTATTAGCTATAATTTCTATTTACCAAATTTTTTGGTTTCCAAATTCTTAATTACTTTATACAGGTTGGTGGTTTTTAAATATGTATGGTTGATTTCTCCTTATTTTTATGGTCCCAGTGAACCACCTACATAATATCTAAGCTGTGGAACATAGGGAATGTTGAAAATGTGAAATGCGTGTGATTTGAGTGTACATAATAAATTAAATACCAGGATAAGAGAATAATACATAATAATATTTTAAGATGATAATGTTATTGTATTATATTATGTAGTTCATTATTTTATATTATAGGTTTATGTACATTACTAGAAACTTAAATTATTCACTAAGTATAGTATCTACATAAACTCAAAATTAGAAGAAAAAATTGTATTTTTACATACGAGGTGGTGAATGATTATAATTATGAATATTAATCCCTACATGGTTGGCAAGTGATCTTCAGAAACAGTAGATATTGCAACAGCAGTTTATTTGAAACCAATAAAAAAAAGGTTAGGTTAGTTGAAATTGTTTGTATTTCATTAAATAACTTGTGTAGTAAAATTTCAGAAGGTAATAATATTATGTAAGTACTGTGTACCTATCCACCCATTAAAAAAATAAATACTCAACCAAATCTAAAATGCAGTGGCAGATTTAAAAAAAAGGTCGCTTAGTCAAATTTTGAGTACATAGGTTATGGGACCCACGTAAATAACAATGAATGCCTAGGTTTAGTAAAAAGTGGGTATGTCACTGCTTCCAGATAAGTATTGGAAGAGACACATTTAATATTGGTGCCCACTTGGTTTAAGGTACCTATCATTTCAATCATAAATTTACCAGTACCCAAACAGCCAAACTGTAAAATTAGTTAAGGCTTATAGCCAGTAGCTATAAAATTTACTAACCACTAAAGAGCATTTCGACGAGGGTCTCCAAGGCGCCAGGTTCTGCCGCTTGAAACCCGGTTTCCATCAATATTCCGGCAACAGTAGTTTTCAAAAACTTCCTCTCCATAGACTTATCCATTATTGACAGGCACAATTGATGCGGACGTCCAAGATTTCCGACCCCTCAGGCACAGAATAAAATATTTTATTAATTCCGGTTACGTTTTAAAAATTTGAAAATCCAAATATTATTGTTGTGGTAATATGGTCAATGGTCATCCAAATCATTCGTCCATGTGCAGCAATGCACTATGTAGCATAAATATAATATACAGAACAACAGTACATCAGAATTCAGAACTCAACTCACGACTCACGACTGTTGCTGTCTGCGGTCTCTCTGTTTGGCAAAACAACGTTATCATTATTCAAGTTGATAATACAATTGAATGTTATTATCGCTTATTGTCTATTGGCACAACAGATATCTACATAGTTCCACAGAATAACCGGCAGATGTATGTGATTATTGAGGAAATTATTTTGTATATTTGGAAAAAAATTATTAAAAAATATTATTTTATATTATTTTAAAAAGTTTTTTCTCTTATACTTACACTAAAAGTATGCCGAGTATAAGATGCCGCACCAAACCTACGAATTTAATTTTCAGGTATAAAACCCAATTTAAAAACTATTGTAAATCAAACAATGAAACAGTTTCATTCTTCTCATAAAAATATTAAAATGAAATGTAAATTTTTATTTTTCTTAAATTAGTTATTTTTTGTTTATTTTGAATAGTATTGCAAAATATATTTAAATTATTGTTTTTTAAACTAATTTTAATAACAATAATCATTAATAATATCGTTAAAACATTTTTTGGAGCATTGGTTTTTATTTTTATTTTCTAGAAAAAATTGAATCGGGTTGGAATTTAAGACATTGGGCTATTGGGGTTCCACGAAACACAAACTGGGTGCCGTAGTCCTAAAAGTTTAGGAACCGCTACTCTAGAGAGTCACTATAATAGTATAATGAATGTTTTAAATATGAATTCAATGATATAAGATCATTGTATACAAAAAACGATACTGAGCTGAGACGATCAATCAGCCTAGACGAGCTAATAAGTAATAGCCTCGTAATATTACCAACAACGAAGTAGGTATATTTTATTATTTTATTGTGAATTGTGATTAAGATAATTTATTTAACTATCCGTCAGACGTCAGTACTGTAGTAAGGTTATTTTTGAACAACAAAATGAGAAAATTGTTGTATGAGAAGTTTTTTGTTTACTTGTGAATATCTAATGTCAAACTACAAATGCTCGTAAAAAATTAATTTGTAATTCCAGTAAACTTAATTTTTTGTTAAATGTAGAAAAACTTAAGGAAAATCTTGTATTAAATTTTCAAACCTAAGGTATAAAAATAAATTTTTTCATGAATTTCTAATTTAATTTGCAAGTTTATACGAATTTTGTCAAAATTTTAAATTCAAACGCTCATAAAAAATTATTGTGTATTTACGCTAATTTGTTTTCAATTTCTACTACAATAACTTTGACAACTAGTCTCTGGAGGCTCAAGCGTGGACGTGATGCCCATGATCTCTATCTGATATCTTAACAACAATAACAAATTTAATAAAAAAATATTATTTCTAGTAATTTATACGAAGTGTCGATCTGGCCATGGTCGCCAGGCTGCGAAAGCGGCCGGGGTCTTTCCGTTTTTTTTTTGGGGGGGGGGGAGCCCATATTTTTGGGGTCCAGGGTAAAGAAAAATTGCCAGGTCTTATAAATTGGATCTATAATCTGATGCTTACCTATTATCTATAGTGAGAGTGTATGCATACTAGTGCAAGTGCCAAGTTACAATATTATAATAGTAACACTGTAACAAGTAGAAGGAGGTTTTTTGTAATAATTGCGCTACTGTAGCCTGTAGGTTAAGTTAGGTTTTATCTCTAGCTTCACAATCAATGGCTCGAACGACTACACGAGGGCCCTGCTTACCCGATCCATACAATTAAATATTGAGTATAAAAATATGTATAATATTATGATATAATATAATACTATACGTCTATATTATGTCTAATGTCTATATCTATTGACTATTTATATATTAATATATAATATAAATTATATATAATAATAATGAAGAGTGAAGACATTTACTTTTGGAAGTTTACTTAAATAATATTATGCTTATGGCTTATGTAGGTATTTGTCTTAAATGTTTAAATTCTATAGTAAAAATATAATTTTAGTTTTCGTAATTTTGTATCTGTGTAAACTACTAAACAGTAATATCATTAATAATTGTTATTTATCGTTTTGTAGTTTCCAAATGTTTCAATAATTTCATAGTTTAATATTATACAAATTATACCCTACGTCAGGGTTCGCGTTAATATTATAGATGTATAATATTGTAATTTAATGTTATTATTTATAAATAATGTCTTCTCGTAGCCCACAAGCAATAGTTATTTATAAAAATATTGTCGACTTCATAATATTCAGCAATGATTTGTCAATACGACATTACGACTTCTGTTGTACAATCATCACCATTTCAAAAAAAATTAAATTTTCCTATTTTGGAATGTGTTACGATTGTGGAAAATTGTACGGAAAGTAAGTTTTAGTATTTTAACTAATGTATTGATTTTTTTGTGTTTTATTTTGGATATTGTGTACATTTTTAATTTTTTTTAAATAATAACGTCATATATCATACAATATAAATTATACATATTATATTAAGTAGTTGACATAGATAAATAATAAATATACTAGTATACTACTAAGCCGGCCCAAATATTAAAAAAATTAAAGTTATAATTCAATTGTTGAGCTATTATAATTATAGTTGCATTACTAAAGGCTTATAAATAATAATAATAAAAACCACGATTCTTATACACAACTGTTATCTAGTAGATAACCATGATCTTATCTTTACTGATATACATTCTTATCAGCTTACATCCTGCTATATTTATTTTCTATTTAAACAATTTCTGGGATTCTTACATCCCGGAAGTTTCGAATTCAGTAATATTTTATTAAATTATAATTAAACATTCAACCAATCTAAATTTTAGCGGCTTTTTACTGGACAATTATTTGAGTCCATATTTACGGTAGCACGTGGCCGTGATAAGAATTAAGAATCTAGTATCTACGCCGTCGTGTCCGTCGTCGATACCCGTGTAAATGATAACAAACTAAACTATTATTATTTATTACGTACTATTATCATTATTAAAATATTATTGATATTTTAATTGTTTTAAATTTTTAACTTACCACTGCCCGTAGTCCGATAAATATCGTTTGAAAAAAATGTTTTTCTTCTGTTTTTTTCTTTTTTAATGAAGAAACGGTAGGAGATTGCCTATATTGATGGAATATTTTAAAAGTGGCTTAAAAACGGTGCTCGGTACGCCCGTCGTCGAAGACCAGCCATCCGGTGCCGATATTGTATGTTGCTTTTAGATTTTTATTTTGTGACTAAAACATGCTTGATTATGTATTTTATGAATTTCCTTAGTATTTATGTAATATTTGTGTGTGTGTCTGTAATTTTACAGACACATTTTTTATCTGTAAAAAATATTAGCTTTTTCTTTAATGTTTTAACCGGCAACATTTTACCTTCTCCACAGGTTGAGCGTTTGGTGGATCGAGTTCAACATTCCACGTTGCTGGCAGACAGACGTGATGCATGCAGGGCACTTAGGGCACTATCACGAAAATACCGCATTGAAGTGGGTGCAAAAGGAATGGATGCCTTGTGTCTAGTGTTACAGCAAGACCGTGCTGACGCTGAAATAGCTAGCTATGCTTTGGACACTTTAAGACTCATTATGCATAATGAGATCTATGAAGAAGAAGGTAATATTTATGCAACCAATTTATGAAAAAGGTTTTTAGTAATTAGGTACTTCTCTATTAAGTATTTAACATTAAGGTGTTATTTCTTCATTCTGATTATTTTTTACATGTTTTGGTTTTGGTTGCTAGTACCTTTCTTGCTTGAACCATACATTTTGATATCTATGAACAGTTATTTAATTCTAAAGTGTGTTTGAAATCATATTAATTTTATATTTAATTATTACTAATACCTATGTAAATATTTATAACTTAGGTAGATCATATCTATTTATTAGTAGTAATTACCAGTGGATGGTTTATTACTGGTGGGTTACCTATTTAATAGATTTATTATTCAAAATATACTATCTATATTTTAAGCATTTTGCAAAAAATATTTTATACCCGGTTTTAAATTTGTATCTTAGATACATCATAATATTCAATTTTTTTTATGATATTTTATTCATTATGATTATATTTTTTACCTAATTTTAAACATTTTCAGTTTTCCTAATTATGGGTTAACTGTTATCCTATTACAGTAAATAAATCAGTTTGTTTTTTAAAAACCGTTACCAAACATGGTTAACTGTGAATTATTACCTTAATTAATTTAAAACAATAGGTAATAGTTTAATCATTGTTATCAAGTTCTCGGTATGTAATTTAAGTTATGACTTCTGTTGTTTATTTGTGTTAAAACAAAAATGAAATATAAAACAGTGAACTTGCACTACAATATACCAAATAGGTTTTGAGTGTACCTCATCATTGAGTAGGTCACTCTAATGAAGGTGTTCAATTTGAATTTGATTTGAATTTTCTATTGCATATAAAATACTTACAAAGTACAATATTTCATTAAAATTTGAACTTCAAATTCTTACAAATGATATCATAATTGTGATTTTATTTCAATAATTTTTATTCCTGCAAAATCAATTTATGTGGAACCTTGCAATACATTTAAAACATTTTTTTACTGAGAAAAAACTTTATAATAATCGTAAAAAATGTATCTGATTAACATTTATTGAAATAAAACATAAAACATATCATGCTGCTCTATATTTTTCTTCTGCAAGAAAATTGAATAATCATAGGTATATTAATGTTGTTGATTTGTGTTCCTATGGCAATAAAAATTGGTTACGGTAAAAAAAAAATGCTGTATCCAGCCCAAAAACATATTGCAACGTGGTCCTGAGAACTTTATCACGATATTAATTATCCAGAGAAGGTTTTCTATTCCTTTTGGATAAGTAACCTGTAGATTATAGCATTGTGTACCTATAAGGTTTTTATTAATAATAAGACATGTTTGGTTTATAATTCTATAATTATTATTAGTTCATATATGTTTTATTATTATATTATATTTATTATTAGTACTTTCTGTCATGGAATATGACTGTTAATAAGTGTATAGGTGAGTACGCTTGTGTTGATGGTTACTGTCAAACTAATTGTCATCTTATTGTCTTAATAATAAGTATTCATTTGGATGGGTCAAAAAGTGTTGAATGTGTTTATGTTGTATTGCTCAATTCTATAGTGTGTGTTTAGAGTATAATATATATAATATAGTGTAATAAATGTTAAAATATCTATGTAAATAATTTAAAAGTTTAAAATGTATAAATATCTCCAAAAAAACCAAAATTGATGTTTAAAAATGAAAATTTTATTATTTAGAAAACATTTTGAGTAGATATATAATTTTTTTTGAAAATACCAAAAATACTGAGAATTTGTTTACTTTTTAATTTTTAAATTTAACTACTACGACTTAACCATAACCATCCTCAAAGTTGAAGGTTGAATTATTTTTACTGCTTAAAAAAGTGATGACCTATGAGACAAAAACATATATAAAACTAATTAACTTAACAACTCAATACTTGAATACTATATCATTTCATTACTAAGAAACTAAAATTATATGTACCTACTTGTTAAAATTTTGTTGAGTGAAACTCTAAGAGTATACTATTTTTACGACTTCTTATTATATGATAAATACAAACATTAAAATTTTTTTTTTCAGAAATTCCTGATGTAACTGCAAAAGATTCGCATAAATTGGGTGAACGTTTTACAGAAATATTCATTAAAAAAAAAGAAAATGTTGGATTGGTTTTGGATTATCTAGAGGAATTTGATTTTCATGTACGGTGGCCAGCTCTTCAGTTACTGTTACTATTGTTAACAAATAAGTGAGTTAATATAAAAACAAGGCTAAAGTAGTGCCTATAACTACATTTAATTTTAAATAAATACATTTTAATTGTTTTAAGTTACAATATTGTATATTTATAAATTATTTAATAATTAAATATTAATAATAATATTTTTAATTTTTTATATTCAATACTGTGAATTATTTATCTATGTATTGTAATTTTTTAGTATTTTATTGAGTTAAAAATTTGAAATATATCATTATTAAGTCTTACTTTTATTAATAGTACTTTGATGTATATAAGTGGGGTTCATATAATTATTAGATTTCATAGTAAATAATCAACTATTAATTTAATAATATTTACTATACGTAATTTGTCGAATAGAATAATCATTCCATCTAGATGCCCGACCACGGTCAGTAAAATAAGGTATGCTCCACCAGTGTTAACAACTTACGTATTACATACACAAATTAACAGAATACTATTATATATTAATATTATACTATCTAGTTAAATACTTTAATTTGTTGTAATATAATATACTATATACTATAATATATATTTAATAAACACTAAAAAATTATTAATGCAAATTTTTTTTTGAAAATTGCATAGGGAGTGCTTGCATTCTATTATTAAGCTTTTTGCCAATAAATACAATTGGGACCAACATTTATATGTCCATTTATCATATGTTACTTTATTATACTATATTATAATAAATCATAAATCATAATAAATTATCGTAAAAAATATTAAAAGGTACTTGATTAATAAACATCAAAATTTGTTGACTATTTGTGATAAATAAGCACAATTTTAATTAAAATTTTTTTTGATTTTATAGTTACAAGTTGATATTACGAAATCAAATATTTAATAGCATACTATACTAGTAGAAAATTATTTAAGACTATATTATAGTATATGCCAAAATAATATATACAGTGAATCCTCCCCTAACACCTTCCAATAATGGATGTTTTCTTGGGAACCAATTACAATCTTTCTTCAATCTGAGTCCTCTGAATAGCAGACAAAATGTCAGCAACCAAGAGTGTCTGGTATTTATTTGTTTCAGTATAATTGTATTCTGTTAATTTGTATATGTAAGTTGTTCACACTAGCCGGTCTCTAGACACATCTAACCTAATCATAGTAATAAATTATAATAATCTAATAACTATAAGATATTGATTATTATTGATTTAATTAGAAACCATTAATATTTATTAATTTGGAATAAATAAATTAAATATTAGTGAACTCCAATTTATATTTAAAATAATTTATATGTATAAATTTATGGTAATATAAATCCTTATTTGTAAAAAAAAAAGAAAGTTGGTATTTAACAAATATTCTAATGTTGAAATTTTAAAAACATTGGAAATGAATGCAAACTATTAAGAGGACGCCACACTCCCATTTGTTGTCTCCCTCTTACAAACACGTAACATACCAAATTTACGCCCAGCAGTTCACGTTTTATGCCGTTTGCTTAAAAATTAGAGTGAATCGACTTATTTTGAAACTTGATGATAAGAACTAAATTTTTGTTTTGTTGAAAGTTTTTTTTACAATAATTCAGTTTTTAAGTGAGTTATGAGCATTTTTAATTAACATTTATTATACACTTATACCTTATTTAAAAACTAAACTATCATTAAAAAAACTTCCTACAAAACACAGATAAGTTCTTACCATCAAGTTTCATACTAGGTCAATTCACTCTAATTTTTAAGCTAATGACATACAACGTGAACTGCTGAGTGTAAATTTGGTATATTACGCGTTTATAAGACGGAGACAACATATGCGGTTGTGGCGTCCTTTTAATACAATTTTTTGGTATAGAAATTATACAGTTGTATGACTTAAACTCCATAGATGAATACAAATAATTCATGTCCAAAAAAAATGTAATAAACATTATTTTGACTAGGTACTATATAATATATAATCATATTATTATAGTATTTTAATTCTAAGAACTTTATAGAACTACCTATATCAGCGTTTCCCAACATTTTTCCCTCGCGGCACACTAATCCCATGTTTAGCCGAAGCACACTTGTCACTGACTAATATATGTATGCATATTTTTTTTATAGTAGGCTTTCATCATATTAATTATTAATACCACATTAGGTGTATATCAGTATATTAATAACAAATAATTTAAAATGGTGTGTTTATTTAGGATAAAAAATTTTTATTACAATTATAATTAAAAATATTTCAACCTATTACCATCATTTTACGTAAACGTCTAACCTAACGTTAATAATCGTAAAATTTTGGGGCACACCTACAGAGGCCTCACGGCAAACCAATGTGCCGCTGCACACTGGTTGGGAAACACTGACCTATATGATATACTAATGTATACATATTTAATTTGCCATTAAAATTGTTGTGATTCAAAGCATATTTCTTTTATGGATTGCAATATTTATAAGTTTATAACTAGATACCTACTTTTTTATAAAAAAAATCCTTTATTTGTTTTTTATTTTCTTTATAACATTTAACATCTCATATTTTTTGATTTTTATGATTGTAAACAGGATATTTTTTATAATAGTGTTAGTGTATAAATACAAAATATTGAAAAAAAAAATTATTTCTGTGATAAGCATCAATAGTTTAATTGACTAACTTGACAAATGGGGTGAAATTGTAAAGAATACCTATCCTATAAGAATTATCCATGCTTCTATTAATTAAAACTATTAATGCTTGTTAATACAAAAAAAATAATAAACTTTGGTTTAATTATTGATGTACATATACTTTTTAAACATTTATGCTGCTTATAAAAAGTTATAAGAAACGAAAATTCATTGAAAATAAACAAAGAAAAGTGTCCTTTATTAAAAAAAGTACTATCCTGATATTTTATTTAGTATACATACATTTTAATAGCAACTGTTTTATCTTAAAAAACTGTCTTGAGTTTTTGGATTATTCTATTTCATTATGTCATTCTATTAAATTTGAAAAGTAAATCTTGTTAATAATAATAGGGCTAAAGACGTGCAAGAAATGATTTTGGTCAGTCCAATGGGAGTTTCCAAACTAATTGACATGTTGAGTGACAGCCGGGAAGTAATTCGAAATAACGTAAGTTCTTTTTAATACTACTATTTATTTATTTTTCATTACAGACCCCTTATTTTTAACAGATAAATAAACAAGTATATGACCACATTTTATTTTGCAAAATTATCTTTTGACAAGCTTATTTAAAACTGGTATAATACTGTATATTTGTATTAAATAAATAAAAAATAATTTTTGTTCATTAAAAAATAAAAGTTAGTAACTCATATCATATAGGTATTAAGAGTGCAGCCAAAATAAGTGTGATTATAATAGTACTAAATATACTATGGTTAAATACACAATTTAATGATAATATTAAATACAATTAAATGTTCAGTATTGCATAAAGTTTAATAAAACTATTTTCTAAATAATTTATTACTTATGAACCGTAATTAAATTACAATTTTTTCATTCAAAATTAAAAAAATTATTGATACTTAATTATTGAATTTAGTTGGTATGTACACAATATAATATACTAGTATAACAATTTCTGTTTACTTATGCTTACTCGTTTTTATCATTCTTGATGTGTTATATTAAACTATACTTATATTATAGTCAGGAAATAACCATGTGTTAGTGCATACCTGTATCATTTGCAAGTAACACAAATGTCATAAGCGATAGGCAGCAGCAACGAAATTGCATAATGCCTAAATATTTCCCCTTAATAAGTTAGTTAGCAAGCCCCTTAAGTTAACATTTTTATTGAGGCCTCTAAACTAAAATATTAAGTACTAAATTCATTTTATATCAATTTATTTATATCAGTTTCTGCAGTTTTACAATAACAAATGCAAAAATAATAATATTGAATTCAATAATTATAAACAATAAATGTATTAATATATTTGACCAATATTGTTTTAATTTTTTTAATATTGAATGTTTGTTTATTTTACCATTTATATTGAAGTATGCATTTTTTTAGATAATATTAAATATTAATTCATTTTATTTAGATTTTTTTTTAAAGAATCTTCTCCATCAATTTGATCTAATTTAAATAGACTTCTGAAATAATGGATGTTGTATTATGTAGCCTTTATTATATTATTAAAATCTATATAAATAGGCTATTCTGGATTCACTTCTTGCATAGGTTCTTATGTGTCCTATTATACATTCTAATGTTTCTTAAAGTATGATTTGTTAGTTTATAAAAAGTACTTATGATATTAAAATACTTCTTATAGAATTCTAAGATTTTTATGAATAGTTTATTATTAATTTGTATATGTTTGTAATAAATAATAAGTAATTTGTTTTAGTCGGTTCTTTTGTTAACACTATTGACAAAAAGCAATGCTAATATTCAAAAGATATTAGCTTTTGAAAATGCTTTTGATAGACTATTTGATGTTATACAAGAAGAAGGTAATGCAGATGGAGGAATTGTCGTTCAAGACTGTCTAAACTTAATGTTGACTTTATTAAGAAATAATATTTCGACTCAAAATTTCTTCAAAGAAGGTCTGTTCACTTACAATAATTTAAATACTACATAATAGTAATTAATAAAATTGTTTGTTTAGGTAATTTTATATCACGAATATTGCCCCTTTTACAATTGCCTCTTATTGATGAGTGGCCCGTTCAGAGAATAAACAATGTGCATTCAGTTCTTCAAATCATACGTACACTAGTGTCGCCAACTAACCCAGCTCAAGCTACTTCTTCATGCCAACAAGCCATGTATACATCTGGAATTCTAAAAGCAATATGTGATTTGTTGATTGCCACTGGTGTGCCCCGTAATCCATTAACTGAAGCCATATATACTGTTGCGGAACTTATACGTGGGCACAACGATAATCAATCATTTCTTGAATCAGTAAAGTCCAATGAAAATCCACCAAAGTATATTCATATATATGTGTTAATTAATATATTTCTGATGAATGTAGAATTACTTTCATAGTATGTATTTATTTTTAGGGATATTTTGCTATTATTGTTATGTACAATGTTAAGCGATAAGCAGCCATTTGATATGCGCTGTGCGGTGTTGTACGTTTTTCAGTGTTACTTGTACAGAAATGATTTTGGAAAAATGAAAATTGTACACAAACTATTGCCATTGGAAAAAGAAGGTATTGTTATAACTTACAATGCCTTGCTACTATTATGGTTATTTAGTAATTCAATTCTCTATTTGTATATGTATTATATAGTAACTGAAACTTGCATCAGCCATCTTCTTTGTCGAGGTTTGTTCAACAAGGAACCTTTGAACAGCTGGTTCTCAGCAGTGGCACTTTCATATGCTCTTATTGACAATCCAGAGGGTAAGGAAAAGCTGCTGAATGTCAAGTTGTCGTCCAATGATAATAATGAGCCACCAACATTACTGCAACAGATAGTTATTTCCATCCAAACAGTATGTACTTTCTAGGATCGTAACAGTTACAACATTAAAAAGAATACTCAATTGATATTTAATTTTAGAATGATAAAGCACAGTGTAAAATTGGATATTTGATGTTTTTGTCTACTTGGTTTGCTCATTGTTCACTGGCTGTCGAAAGTTTCTTGAAAATTAATTCAGGCATACCATACTTTATAACTCAGGTTCGTATTTACTATTCATTCATAATTATTTGTTATGTATGCTACAATCATATTATTTCTTTAACTCCCTTGTATAGGTAAAATTTAATTATATTTTATATTCTAATAATTATGGTGTTTTTTCATTTTTTTTTATCACATAGCATTTTGGAATAGTAACAATTTTTCAATCTTCTACATTGACTATTAATGGTAGTTGGTAGTATAAAATTGGATCTAGATGGTATTTCAGATTTCTCATGCAATTTTTTATTGGAGTATACAAAAAAAATCAGCTTTAAGCAATATCAATTTCGTATGAGCTTTCTAAGTTTAAATTTTGACCAAATTTGATATTCAAATGCAGAAAAACGATTTTTCTCTTACAATTTTTGATATTTTTTTATAATTTAAAAATTATAATAGAAACATTAAACATTCTACTATTGCTTAAGTAATCATTTTCTGAACACAATGACATTTTCAAAATATTTTAAAACCTACCTATAATTTTAATAAAATAATAATAATAATTCATGGTAAAGTATAATATAAATTATTATTTAATATAATATATGCAAAATTATTGTCAAGATTTAGTTCACCATATTGTACTACTAACGTCTAACAGTAAAATTGATGTAGAATTTATGCCGAATTTTCTATTTTTAATTCTTCATTGCACATTTTTAAAGCAATTCTTGTGGATCTTGCTTTACGCCAAGCTGGCCAAGATTTATCCAAGAACTGAAATCTTTCTATCCCCTGGAAAACATTGGGTCATGAACATGTATTTTTAATTGCAAGAAATTCTAAAAATAATCATGATTAATATTATATATATTATTTATGAATTCATCATAGTTACTGCCGTTACTGATAACATTATCGAGTGTGATAAAAAATAAAAATGCATTATGAATTTCTACTAAAATAAAATACATTTAATATTTAAACAATCTCTAAATAGTTTGAGTGTCTTAAAAATTTAAATAGTTATCAGTATTGAATAAAATTAACTATAATAAATTGACATGTATGTATGGATGTGTATCGATTTAAAATGTACCATTCATACATAAGGGCTATACAAATATACAATGTTCAGATTAGACACATTATAATATTAATTTCCTTATCAGTCGCCCCACACTGACAATTCATCAAATTATTGTTATATAAATTTACCTATGTATATTTTTCTCCATTAACCTGCAGTCCAGTTAAAATGGTGGTGATAATCTATTGATTAAAACAGAATATTGATATTCAATTGCATAGTACTCGCTAAACTGCCAACATGTACCTACAACTGTACAAGTATATAAATTAAAAAACAACGGTGATTAAATTAGTTATTAACTAATACCTAAGGCCTAACTAAGTGTGTACGGACGGTATACTTATTACCTAATGTACTTGCATAAAGAAACTACCAAAACAAGCAAAAAACACGTAATTGTGCTTGTGCATGTGTTTCGTTATAATAAATAAAAATACTGCTACAACACATATTTTGTTCAGATCTAATCGTTCTCTTATGACATAAAGCGAATAAGCGAGTACGCAATTTTGATTGGACTCAGACAAAATAACATAATCAAAAAACAAATAAATAAATGAACAAGAGAATCGATACGGTTGGGTGCTTCGAATTGTTTTTAATTTAGAAGTACCACTACCCACGCTCGATTTTCGTCGTGTAAAAGAATGTAATTTTCGTCAGTAGAACAGTGTACAATATATCGTGACGTAAATATTATCAATTATAATAGAATGTCCTATTACTTTTATTTGTACAATTATTTTTGTAATACATCCATATGACCATATTCTTTCTTGTCGTATACACAAAGTATACACAAAGAAAGTAAATGCCGCCAATCTGGCCATCTCTTGAACATCTCCTTAAGCCGCTCCTTAAATTACTGGAAGAGCAATTAAATTTAGTCTAACTCAAACTTCTAAGCAGATATATCTAATATCTGACTTTTTTTTACGAATTCAATACTATATAAAGAAACGTTCTTGTAGGTGATTTAAGGTTTTTATGCATCTATTACATAATATAGTTTACACCGGCATTTATACATATATGCTTGTGGGTGTGGAGCACTATTATCTCTCTATTTTTACCACTAGACTGAATATTCAACAAATAACTTTATATAGGTCCATAAATGCATTATATAATAGTATACAGTACATATTCTTGTACTGTAATTTTTTTCTTGTATTGTGACACGTACGAGGTGAAATAGTTCGTGTTAAATATAGAACGATTCTTTTAACAATCAGCATATCGTTACATTTGTGTGTTCTCCAAAAAGATAAATTTACATGGATCGAAATACTTCCAACACTACATAAAAAACAAATTATATTGTATAATGATAAGTACTTAATATTTTCATAAAACAATGATTATAATCTTACCTCACAATCTTAATAATTTATTTTATATTCTAAAGGCTAACTTCAAAAAACTTAAATGTATACATAAGGAATTCAAACGGATATTTTTTTTTTTTAATCAGCATTAATTAAATACGTTTAAATTACCTTGTTGATCCATTTCTTTAATTTACATTTAAAACATTTAAAATATACATCTCAAATTATGAAAAAAATGAAAACCGATCGCTTCAACTTTAGTTGTGTACGTCGATATTTTCAAGAAAACAGTCTACAACGAATTATTTATTTAATTAATTTTAAGCGGAAAAGTCATGGATGTAAAATATGTGTGTAGCGTGTTTGTATTAGATCACTGTAATAGATGAGTTTATTTGAGTTCAATGATAAATCAATGCATGTACGAAAATCCTGAGTGGGGACAGTATATCGCAGCCACTTTTCTAAAGCTATTTTTTAATTTATTTATAATAAGTACTATAATATAATTAATCTTTTTATTAGTGATACGGATGGTTGAACTTATATTTTCCAAAAACAACAAGTTTACTATACTAAAAGTTTAGTTATTTGTATTATGTTAGTTTAAATTTTATGAAAATTACACCACGAGTATATAGAAAATAATAATACACATAATGGCTAAAAGTGTAAGTGGTAAGGGTAAGTCCGTTAAAGGATTGTAAATAGGTAATGTGTATTTTTAAATTTATGTTAAAACATTTGAGGACCTTTTGTTGTTAAATGCTCAAACCTTTTTTTTTAAATTTAAAATTTAAATACCTATAAAATATTTGAAAATTGTATGGATTTTTAACTACAAAATAATATGGAATTTTTTTCGTTATTTGACGAATTTCGTTCCAATTTGAATTTGAAACAATTATAAAAAAATTGTTAGTGTATAATTTTGATAATTTTTGTCAAAAATCTTATAATTATTACAATTTCAAGGTTTTTGACCTAGTAATAAAATAAATTAAGTTACAATTTTTTTCAACATTTCAAAAAAAACAAAATACTAGAAAAACTAGAACATTTTAGATTTTTATAAAAATACAAAAATTAGATCCATTTTGATACTATAAACTGCCAACGATATTGAAGATTGACTTACTTTTTTTCGTGTATAGGTAATGAGTATATTTTAAAGTTATGTGTAATATTTGATTTATAATTTATATACATATATGCGATTACCAGTTATTTTTACAAGTAAAATCCAGATGACCTTAATAATTGTTTGTAGGGTGTAATTGTATTTTACAAAATATTATAGACTTTATACACTTATACATGTGACATATTTTTAATTATTTTAACCCTGTATAGCAAGGGAGCACGTTGTGTTTACGCATCCCGCCGTTGTGGTACCAACTGATCCTGGCGGGAGAGTTGTGGTTGGGAATGCGTTGGCTCTATACTGACTTTGGTCGGGCTGCGGCTTGCTCTCTTGCTTTCTTGCTGGGTAGGCTGACATGGTCTATATACCAGGGGTGGCCAGCGATATGAGTCATAAGCCGCAGAATATAATGAAAAGGAATAATACCTATTATCATACTTGTAAAAATGTTTAGACACGAGCCGCGGTTTGGCTACTCCTGACATATATTATCAATGATCATTGAAACGTATACGTATAATATTATTATCTGTGGACCTATTATAATTTATAATGTATATTGTATGTACAATATAAGTACATCAGAAATATATATTTGGGTAGCTTAAGCCCCTCCCCTGAGAACTTTCCCTATTATTTTCCACCTGATATCGTTTTATTTGATCACATTTTTTTGTTGTCAATCATAATATTATATATATGTTGTAGTATTCTATTAATTTCATGCACTGCATATCATTATCTATGTCTTGCTTATGTATAGACGAATCGTCTAGAGAACGAAGAGATCGAAGAAATCGTCAGCGGTTTGAGCACGTTTGTGATGGGTATATGCTTAGCGTTCAATCCTGATACGGTGGAAAATTTCAAAAAAGTAAATTAAAGATTAAAGTATACTTTAACACTCAAATTTTTCAGGACTTACGATGTTTTGTTTAATTCTCAGGACAGCCTAAGACATTTGATTACCAAACGGATAGGCATAGAAACGTTTGTGGATAAATTAAACGATGTGTCTCGAAACGAATCGTACACCAGAGCCAGCAAACACCCGCAACCGACGGCCCAAGACTCAAATACTCTATTATTGGATTACGAGTTTTGCAAGTTGTTTAAAATGCTCGAAGGTGCGTACCTATATAGGTACTATAAATTATAATAGTGTAGTAAGAATAACACACCTATACACGGCTATAATACGATGCTATACAATATTTTATGTTCTATATGAGTGACGACTTAATACTTAAAATCAATTGTAAACGATGTTTGTGGAAATGTGAATGATGTTAATAACATTAATGTTACAATAATGTAATGAGCCCATCTAATTCATATTCCATTTAATTTATCAATTCAAAATACTTGAATATACAGAGTAATTCACCAAGTGTGCTAACCCCTATTATTTCCTAAAGTAATGAATTCATTACAATTCTGTTAAAAACTATACTTAAAGATTTGTATATTTTCAAATTCTTGAGATTTTACCACTTAAGGAGTGTGCTATAACGATAATTTTTTTTTTTTTAGAAACCCCTATTTTCTGTAAATGAATTAGGTAGTAGATAATTTTTTTGAAATTTTGATGTATATTACATTATTCAAAATTCGAATGAGTAGTTTATAATGTTTATACAAAGGATAGTTCTCAATAATGATTTTACAAAAATATAAAATATAGATATAATATTGGATCTTGAATCTAGACCGTGAAGTATATTATAATTTATAATTTACTTGGATATATATAAATTTTTATTTTTAATTATAAACAGTAGAGGCCGCTTATTAGGAACACTGATTATTGATATAATCACGTTATTGAAACAAAATGTCCCGGGACCGACCAGCCGTATATTAGAACATTGAAAATAAATCGGATTATTGAAACATCACATCGGTTATTTGAAACAAATAGGCTAAGGGCTAAGGGCAAAGATTGGCTAATCAATTGGGACAAAGCGCTAAATCGGAACATTTTAATTACTCATTGATTACTATCCCGCTCATATCATTGACTGCATAAACTTAAGGCACATAAAAGTATATTGATGGTATAATTACTAAAATTTTCAAATCACTATGGCCTGCTTATCTTCCAAAATCATTTATCATGGACCTAAGTAGTAATACTACACAAAGTTAAATAACTCAATACTACTTCTTCAAATTTTGATTTAGATACAACATTTTCAGAAAAGTTAAAAGCTAAACTATTTTTCAGTCTTCCACTGTAATAGGGGAAAGTCTAGAAGGAGGGTTCTCATTTGAAAAACCAGAAGTTGATTGTATCTCCTCAAGACAATCTTTAAGTGGTTCAAAAAATCTCGAGGATTTGAAAATATGATCTTAAGTTTAATTCCTAAAATCAGATTTTGAATAACTGTACTATTGAAGAAAAAACTCAAAAAAGGGGCCTAGTATGCTTGGTGAATATCTATTGATATATCTATCTTATGCGCGGAGAGTGCAGGCTGTGTCAATGTCATAATATAGTGTATCGGCCGCCTAATCTGAGTTATATTATTCTACAAAATCATGTCCATATCCTATGCAGGAATGATCATGAGAGCGCTGAACACGCTTCCCGGCCAGGACGATAGCGAAAAATTGGTGACCAATCAAAAACAAATCGAAGAGCTCAACGCCACCGTGGACGGCCTGAAAAACGAATTGACTGAGAAGACCAACCGGATCGAGGAACTGTGCAGGCTGGCTAACGATTTCCGGGACGACACGGATCGTATAAAAACCGAAGTGTGTATGACTTGAAATTGATTTTGATTTTCCTGACTCTATATATCCGCAAATAATAATGTATTATGTTTCATGGCATGAACTAATTTCTAAACGTATAACGTTGTTAATCTATCGATGCCTGTGTGTTTCAGTTGTTTAGACTCCAGGAAAATCACATGTCGCTCATACAAGCTTACCAGCTGAAAGAAAATGAACTGGAATCGTACAGACGTTTACTAGAAATGCACGGGATTTGGGTAAGTTACAATACATGTAATTATAAATCACGTAACGTTGACGCTTTAGTTTGAAGAAAAAAATGTTAACGTTGTGCAAATCTTTTTTATACACTCAAAATTGTTGGTATTCCCATTGAATTTCTATTCAATTGGTAAAGTTATTAATTATTATTTGATAAAAACTCACAAAACGCCCCTTATCGAATAAAAATTTGGTCTCTGCAGTTAAAGCCATCGCGTACATAAGTATTGAATTTCAAAAGCACAAAAGTGGATTTCAAACAATTGTTGTGATTTTGTCTATAGTAATGTTAACACAATATAGTAGTACTGTTGGTAGATTTCTTTAAACAGTAAAATATTATACAATGTTCTTTTAAGTTGAAAGTAAATAATTGTTATTTTTGCTGCACCAAATATAATTTCTTCTTCTGAGGCTTTAGAGTCTTATTACCTGCAGGTCTTAAATTGTTTTATTTTATTTTGTGGATTGGTATCTTTGTATATTCTTAAATAATAATAAGTAAAAAAGTGTAATTAAGATAAGTACGTGTAAGATAACCTGAAAAAGTGTATTTTCTACTACGAAATCTAACGTCACCCGTATGCTATCATTGTATAGTATATACTATAAAACATTATCGTTAAAGGTATTTTTAAAGGCAAAATAAAATTATCTTGAATTAATTGATAGTTTTTTGTGTCACAAATGCATTTTTTAACATAAACGTTTAAACACTTTTATAATCAAAGTTTAAATGAAAAATTGAAAAAATAAATAAATATTTTTCGTCAAACATTAAAATAGATAAAATATAAATAATAACTTGTTAATTTTTTTAATTTATTCTTACAAAATGATCCAATGACGTTTACTATAAAATTAAAAATAATAACAGTATTAAAGTTGCAAACTAGTCCCGTTCCCAGATCACGCTGTACTGTGTATAATGGTTATCGGATTTATCTGCACTTTCGATAACATATGTGGTTATAGCCAAATATGGCGGCCATAAATCGTAAATTTTGACATTATACAAAAAATATGCAGACTACACACATAATATATTATAATTTATACTTCTATATTTTTGTAGGATTTAAAAAATATATACTGATTTCAGGTATAGACTTATATTTTTCCGAATAATTCTGTATATTTGATCGAAGTTCACACGGATATAGTTGTTGGTACTAGCTTTTATTCTGTACCAATTTTTTTTTTTTTATTAGCATTTATATTTTAAATTAGGGGGTGATATCGATATGATAAGCATTGTGACATTTGTATAGTAGACTCGTATAAGCTTATTAGTCGTTACTCGTTAATAAAAATAAAAATAAAAATTATTCGTTCATGTTCAATATGTTTTATGTTTTATGTATTATAATATTATTATTATTTTATGCTTTATTACTTATACATTAACATAGTTAGCAAAGTAAATGCTTCAAATTTTGAAATTAAAAATGTAGCCATCATGTAGGTAACTATTTAAAAATACTAAGTTGATGTTGGTTTCACTAATAGGTACTGCAAGTACGAAAAATAATAATTATATAAAATGTTGAAGTTAAATTTTTCAAAATTAAAATTCTGAAAAATTAATATTTTTGAAAGAACGACAATTCACTGTTTAAACAAAAATAGCTCTGTGTATAGTGTTTGACGATTTGTTTTAGTCGATCTCTTATTACACTATAATTATACGTGTAACAAATATCGCTAGTACTCGTATAATTATATAGTCTGCTTGTTTGGCATTAGGGACGATTACTGATTAGTTTGTATAGTTGTACCTACTTTTATATTGCAGTTTTAAACTGGCATTATTTTATACATTTTATAAAATAGTTTGTAATTTTGCGATATGAATGCAGAAAAACGTCTGACGCAGACATATTATTGAAGTATACTGGGTGGTGAAAAAAAACCGTTTGATAATATTATATCTATTGTTAGATTTACATTTTACCTCTGGAAAATTTGATTTCCAATATAAAAATGTCGGCATTCGCGTTTTCTCTATAACCCAACAGTTTACGTCATGACTCATGATGTTGTAAACAAAAGCCAATTCTTGTTTTTCGATTGGCTATCCACGGTTTTTAGTAGGTACGTAAAATATTGTCTTATTTTCCTTCGGTATTTTGGTATTTTCATTTTATTATAACTACGGTAAATGTTGAAACTTTCGCATCGTTTTATATTTGATTTTACGACTCACTAGTTTTTAAATAGAACAAAAAGTTACTCAAAGTTGTATAAGTCAAACGATATTCCAATTTCCAATGTATTCTGAAAAATATAAATAGCACAGTGTTAAATTCACAATTCTTACAATTTATATTGTACTAAATTATTTGTAACAAATTCAATTATTATTTAAAATGTCGTATAATAAAACTTCTTTTTAATATTCATTTCTTATTAAATTATTTGTTCATATTTAATTTTATATATTTATATCGATGTTGACGATATTGTTAATGATGGCCGGTGACTAATTACGAGTTAAAAAAATGTTGTAAACTTTGAAAAAATAATGACAATTAAAACGATGTATAATATAATTAATGGCAGCTATAATTGAATTATGTTTTTGATTTATAAATAAAATAAAAACTAAGATAAGTCAGTAGTTGACGTTTGGATTCCCGAATAATTTATTTCATAATTATCATAATATAGTCTCTCGGGACGTTAATTAAACCAGTAAAAAAAAAACGAACAAATATTGGACTCCAAAATATGTGAATTAAAAATTAAAGTTTCAAATTTTTTTAGTTATATTTATAAACTCACACAAAACGAAATCAACGTTACAGTTTTTACAAGGCCATTACTTCTTTTCCGCTGGCTTTTTGTTTTCACTTCTAGTTTGCTAAGATTACGCGACGTAGTTCTTATTTATTACCGAATTTACTTATGCGTTTTTAGGCTAAAATGTTCACCGTATATTAATTATACAAAATACAATTTATTTAACGATTTAAAATCGATGTAATGTATATGTGTGAGTGTGTCATACGCGCGTCTCGTGTGCAGTCATCCTGAATATGCAAAAATTAGTCATAACAAAATTTGTTAGTCCACAATGTGTAATGGGTAATAAACACATACACAGTAATACCTTATTAATAGTTATGTATATAGAAATAATAAATACGAATGTACACTTGTTTTTTTAAAAAAATTGGTAGCTAAATTAAAAAATGATTGAGAGGTGTGCTAATTTAGAGCGTATAATATATTCATAAATATATACATAATATATCCCATTCTCGAAAAAAAAATAGCGTATTGACTACTGTCTGTCTCACAAAAGAAACAATGTTTTCATTTTATCGCGTAATGACAATAAATAGTAATATAATTACTTAAAATAATCTTGATGGTTTTTTTCACAAAATTGATGCATTACAACACATTAGTTGCAAGTTGCGGAATTTGAACGTACTATTTAAAATGTCCGTATACTGAATTTGTTTAATCAATGTACAACGAATTATTATTATTAAGATACGATTATCATATTGTAATTTACATCCGCTACTAATGTATTAAAATCTTTATTATTATTTATTTTAACAAGATTGATATTTACCGTTAAAATCTATATTCTAATTGCCTTTTTTTTTATAAACAGCAATTTTTTAGTATTCTGATTTTGATTTCTCGATAAATAAAACAAGTTTAATAATGGTACCTTTATAGAAGGCCATTAACATATGATGATTTATGGTTTAAAGTAGTTGTATTTATAACAATGAAATAAACCTATGATATGACTCCAGGAGATTCTTTGGGAATGCAGAGGGAGAATGTTGGACTTCGGCTGGTGATAACGCTTATGGGTGCTATTTGAAAAAAGGGAGACAAAAAGTTTTAAATTTTATGAAAGGATTCTGGGTTGTACCTATATGTTGTCATGAAGTTTAAAGACTTTATAGATAAAGTTTATAACACAGTTCAACTCAAATATGTTACAAAGTGTAGTTTAAGAATCAATTTCATTGTTAAAAAACATCAGGATTATTTAATTACATGCATTGAAAAAAACGTGTTTATATTTCTTGAAAGAAACAATAATGGTATTATAGATGTGACTTATACATGCCTATATCATTATTATATGTTAAAAGTCACTTATCTACTCTCGTCGTGCCATCGACGATGATAATATTATTTTTTATTCGACGGTGACTATAGAGTTGTACGGTATTATGAGTTTATCATACTTTGTGTAATTTACTTACATACATTTATTATTCACGATTGTTACATATTTCCGTCTACTTTCTAGAGTACTTATAATAAAATTTGGTAAGGTTGAAATTGTGTATACAGATATAAGTTAAAATGACTATATAGTTAGGTATCAATAAATTATTTAATATTTTTAATTAAAACTAAAAACTTTTACTTTAGGATTAGCTAATTTTGCTAACTTCTACCTATTTTGAGATAATGATTCATTTTTAATGTGGTCTATAGACTATAGAAGTATAGAAACGATTTTTGTGAAAAATAAATAAATATATAATACCCATGCATAGTTTATAAACTTGAAAGAATACAATATTTTCTTATTAGGTTTATCGAAAGTTTTTGTTATTAGGTTATACTCGAAAACAATCAGTTATCATATTATTATTATTATTAAACCTAATGGTTTTACGAGTGGAGAATTTCGACAGTAAACCATGGAGTCCTACTTGGGAATAATGTACCACACTACACATCATTGTCCGTATATAAGTTCTCATGGGTGTGTTTAATGTTTATAATAATATTATATTCTATACATCTACGAGTATATATTATACTAAACATGTATGTCTAATATATGATGTAAGTAAGTTATAACGTCACTTACAAACGTAGTATATTTAGAGCTCCTAACCTATACCCATTTAAGGTGTACAACTTAAATACCTACTTAAATTACTGCAGTCCAATTGTTGTATACATTTACTACATATTTAATGTATAGAAAAAGTTGTTGCCAAAAAAA